TGGGGGTGGTGGTGGAGTCGGGTCGTCCGGTCCCGCTGCGGACGTGGGGATCCTGCCCGGTCCAGCTGCACCGCTGCCTCCACAGTCGCAGCAGCAGCAGCAGTCGCCGCCGCAGCAGCCGCCGCAGCCGAGGCAGGCGAGTGCTCTCCCGCCTGGGTGGCCTGGAGCTGGTGGTGGTCGGGCGCGTGGTGGTGCGCCGGGTGGTGGTTCTGGAGGCGGGCGCTGTCAGTACCAGATCCAGACCGGTCCTCGCCGCGGCTTCGTTTGCGGTAAGATCGGTCATTCCACTCCTCGCTGTTTTCGTCGTCTGGACGACCTGTTCCGTCAGCGCTTTGGCCCGGCGCCCGACCTCCCGGACTGGCACAGCTTGCTTACGCGTAGCATTCAGATTTTTGACTTGGACATGGATGCCATTGTAGCAGCCTTGCATGTGATGTATGCTGATGACTCTAGTGTGCTTCCCTCTTATTACCCCGTGTTGCCTAGTGTAGCTGTGCCTAGCGTAGACTCCCCTGCTGCGTCAGGCGTAGGATCTCCTGCTTTGCTTAGCCTCGGTGCTTCCACCCCTTCACTGCCGCCTCGCGCGACTGCTGCGCTTTCCTTCACCTTGGACTCTGGCGCCTCCCGGTGTTTCTTCCGCGACTCCACGACGCTGACGCCGCTGCCTGTTCCCGCTGCAGTTACTCTTGCTGACCCCTCCGGTGGTCCCGTCGTTGCCCGCAGTTCCACCTCCCTTCCCTGTCCGGCGGTTCCTTCAGGTTCGCTCACAGGTCTGCATATCCCCTCGTTCTCCAGGAACCTAGTTGGTGTCGGCTGCCTCCAGGACCTTGGCGTCACCACTACGTTCCCTGGTCACGAGCGGTATGCTGTCTGTACCGAGGCCGCCACTGCTGCCCCCCTTACCACTTTCCCCCGGGACCCGGTGTCCGGCCTGTTCACACTTGACACCGCGCCGTCCCCGGCTGGGTCTTCCCCCCCGGTAGCTGCGTCCACCCAGGTTGCAGCCGCGTGCTCCTGTCGGTCCCTCACTCACCCGACTCTCCTTTGGCACCACCGCCTTGGTCACCCTGCACTCCCGCGTCTGCGTCACATGTCCCAGCACGGTCTCGTCCTTGGTCTCCCCGGTTCGTTCCCCGAGTTTCCCTCCTCCCCCGCCCCCCCGTGCACGCCTTGTGTCGAGGGCCGGCTCCGCCGTGCCCCTCACTCCTCCTCGTTTCCCCCTACCACCGCACCACTGCAGACTCTGCACATGGACGTCTGGGGCCCAGCCCCGGTCCATGGGCCGCGTCGCGAGCGCTTCTTCCTAGTGCTTGTCGACGACTTCACGCGCTACACCACCGTCTTTCCCCTGGAGCGGAAGGCCGACGTGCCTGACGTTCTCATCCCCTGGCTTGTCTCTGCTCGTGTCCACCGCGGTCTCCCTGCCTTGCGCCTCCACTCCGACCGGGGTGGCGAGTTTGCCTCAGGTGTCCTTGGTCGCTTCTGTCGTGCGGAGGGCATCACCCAGACGTTTACCCTGCCGGACTCCCCGCAGCAGAATGGGGTCGCTGAGCGACGCATCGGTTTGGTCATGGAGGTGGCTCGCACCTCCATGATCCACGCCGGTGCACCCCATTTTCTGTGGCCGTTCGCCGTGCGCTACGCCGCTCACCAGCTTAACCTGTGGCCGCACCCCCAGCGGCCGCAGGTTTCGCCGACCCTTCTGTGGACCGGGTCCCCTGGTGACGCGTCTGCGTTCCGCGTCTGGGGCTGCCTTGCTCACGTTCGTGCCTCTGGCACGGACAAGCTCACTGCCCGCACCCTCCCCTGCGTCTTCCTCGGTTTCCCCCTTGACGCGTCCGACTGGCACTTCTACCACCCGCCGTCTCACCGCTTCTTTCACTCTCGCGACGTCACCTTTGACGAGTCCGTCTCCTTCTACCGCCGCTTTCCCCACCGTGGTCCCCCGGTTACTCCCCCCCTTTTCCTGGTTCCTCCCTCCCTGGTGGTCCCTACCCCTCCCCCCCCCCGCCCCCCCGTCCGGCCCCCTCTGGTGTGTCTCACGTCACCCCCCTCCCGTCGGTCGTCCCGGTCGACGAGTCTTCTGACTCTGGTAGTCCTCCGGCGCAGTCCTCGCCGTCTGTCCCTCCCCCGGTGTCTCCTCCTCCACCGCCTCCGCAGCCGCCGTCGCCGCAGCTGCTGCAGCCGTCGTCTCCACCGCCGCCGCCGTTGCAGCCGTCGTCTCCGCCGCCGCCGCCGTCGCAGCCGTCGCTGCAGCCGCCGCCGCCGCCGCCGCCGTCGTCGCTGCCGCCGTTTGTGGACTCTGGGGGTGTCCCTTCTGGGGGTGCAGGTGTGGAGGGTTCGGGAGGTAGCCGTCGCGCAGCTTGTGGCCCTGGCGTTGGTGTTGTGTCGCCGCAGCAGCAGTCCCCGCCTGTGTCCGCCCTCCGTCTGCTCGGCCTTCCGTCTCCTGACCCTGCGCCTGTTCCTCTCCTGCCGTCTCCCCCTCTTCCCGTCTACGGCCCCGTGTTCCCTCTGCCAGACTCGTCCCCGGCTCGTCTTCCCCCTCGTTCCCCTCCTGTGTCCCCTCCTCTGTCTCCTGACCTGACGCCGCCCTCACACGTCTGGTCTCGCCGCCCCTCTCGTGCTCGTCCTGTCTCACCTGTCCCGCGCTCTCACCCTATGTTGCTCCGTTCCCACGCGTCTCGACCTCCCCTCCTCCCGTCTCCTCCTCCGTCTTCTCTTGTCGTTGCGTCTCCTCCTCTGTCCGAGTTCTTTCGTGCCGCTCGTCCTCTTGTTCCTCGGGTCCTTGCCTCTCTCGTTACCGACCCGTCTGTTCCCGTGTCGAGTCTTGACGCCCTCGTCGCTGCGGTCGCTGACTTCGCCTCTACCCGCCGCCTTGACTACGCCACCGCTCTGGTCTCTCACCCTGCCTGTCCTCCGTCTGTCGGGGGTGCTCCTGCCCTCGGCAGTGACGTCCTGGAGGACCGCCAGTTTGAGCTTGCTTTCCTGTCCGAGGCTGCTCCCCATCTCTGTTCCATGCTGCTAGTCCCTGAGGGTGACCCAGACGCTTTCGACATCCCGACCCCTCGTACTTACGCTGAGGCGGTTTCGGGACCCTGGGCCTCTCAGTGGATAGCTGCCATGGAGCAGGAGATGGCATCTTGGAGATCCACCGGCACCTTCGTCGACGCAGTTCCCCCAACTGGGGTGAACGTGGTCGATGGCCGTTGGCTCTTCAAGGTGAAGCGCCCTCCTGGAGAGCCGCCTGTGTTCAAGGCGCGCTACGTGGCTAGAGGCTTCAGTCAGCGCGAGGGGGTGGACTTCTTTCAGACTTTCGCTCCTACCCCGAAGATGACTACACTTCGGGTGCTGCTACACGTAGCGGCTCAGCGTGACTACGAGCTTCACTCCCTCGACTTCTCCACTGCCTTTCTTCAGGGCAGCCTTCACGAGCAGGTCTACCTGCGTCGCCCTCAGGGCTTTACTGGCACCTTCCCCCCTGGGACCCAGTGGCTTCTGCGGCGGCCAGTCTACGGCCTGCGCCAGGCGCCTCGTGAGTGGCACGACACTTTGCGTGCTACCCTTGCTGACCTGCAGTTCTTTCCGTCCTCTGCAGACCCCTCGCTCTTCGTTCGTGCTGGCTCGACTCCGTTCTACATCCTCGTCTACGTAGACGACCTGGTCTTTGCCACTGCTGACAGGGACGCACTGGCCTCCGTGAAGGCAGAGCTGCTGAAGAGACACACCTGCACTGACCTTGGAGAGCTGCGCCGTTACCTTGGCTTGCAGATCTCCAGGGACAGAGCCGCGCGCACCATCACCCTGACTCAGTCACACTTGGTGCGCCAGGTCCTTCAGAGGTTCGGCCTTCAGTTCTCCTCCGCACAGCCCACCCCTCTTCCTCTGGACCACAGACTCTCCGCTCCAGTTCCTGAGGAGTCGGTAGATCCCAGTGGTCCTTACGCTGAGCTAGTGGGTTGCCTCATGTACCTGATGACTTGCACTCGCCCAGATCTCGCATACCCTCTCAGCATCCTGGCTCGTTTCGTGGCCACAGGCAGGCACCGACCTCAGCACTGGTCTGCCGCTAAGAGGGTTTTGCGTTATCTTGCAAGTACATCGGGCATGGGGTTAGTGCTAGGCGGACGCAGGCCAGTGGTCCTTACTGGACACACAGACGCTTCTTAGGCAGACGACGCCGAGACGCTCAGGTCTTCCCAGGGCTACTGCTTTAGCCTTGGTTCAGGTGTTGTCTCGTGGAGAGCTACCCGCTCTTCGTCTGTTGCCCAGTCCAGCTGTGAGGCCGAGATCTACGCCGGTGCCATGGCGGCACAGGAGCTCCGCTGGCTGACCTTCTTGCTCACTGACTTAGGTGAGCGGCCTAGCTCTGCCCCGGTCCTGTACGCTGACAACAGGGCCATGATCCTCCTGTGTCAGGAGCCTCGACTCGAGGGCAGAGCGAAGCACATCCAGCTGCGGTACTTCCTCCTGCGTGAGCTACAGCAGCGTCGCCAGGCTCGCGTAGTACACTTAGCCTCCGGTGCCAACACAGCTGATATCTTTACGAAGGCGCTTGCGCCTAAAGATCATCAGCGGCACTGTGTACAGCTTGGTCTGGTTCCTGTAGTCTCTCACTTACTCGGGCCTTGACTCTGTACTGTCCTATATATCTGTGTGTACACTCAGACTGGACTTGTGTCCTCTTACAGTGGTTGGACTAGTAGTGCCGCCCTGTACTAGTTCTTGCCTTGCCTGTACTCCTTCTGACTGGTCTTTTAGACCCTTGTCTTAGAGGCTGGACTAGTAGTGCCACCCTGAGCTGCTTGTCTAGAACATTCCCCTATGCAGTCCAGGGGGTGTGTCAAACATGTTTAGTTATCATGCTTGTATAGACTGTATAGGGTCATCTTCTAGAGAGTACAACAGCTAGGTATATGTTTGTGTACTCTCTCTCTCTATTCAATAAATTTCACTGTTTGATACCTATATCTTGGCTTGCCATTCCTTGTATCGTCATTCATTGAGTGAACATCTCGTTATTCATTTCCGCGCTACTCTGCTTGTTCATTCATAACACACATCAATCAACTACATCGTAGTACTTTTTTGTCTAAAAGCCCCCACCAGGCTCCAACAAAGCCAAGGCCTTTCTAATAAAATCAACAGCGGTCGGAACGTCATCGCTTGCAAGCGCGCTCACGGCGTATCGAGCAGCCTTGTGAGCATCCGCTATCTCGCGTGGACCTGGGCCTTGAGAACTTGAAAACCTCCCCACAGATGGTGATGCAGTAGGTCCATCTGCTGCCACTACAACATTCTGCCCTACTCTTGTTCCTCCAGTTACCGTCCCTCCACCAGACGCCACACCCCCACCACCTCCACCGTATGCAGAATGGGGAGAAATCTGCGATGGCTGTGCCCCAGCGGCACCCCCCGCCCCCCCCATGCCTTGGCTTGCACTGCCAGCAGCACCACCCCCTGCCATGAAGGAGAACCCAGCAAGGCCAGCAGCGGTGGCACTGGCAGCGGGGGCAGCCCCAGGGGCGGCATTCTGTGCAGGTGGCATGCCAAAGATGGGGTTTGAAAAGGCGCCTACAGGTGCTGCCTGTGGTTGCTGGTAGGCCAGCGCCGAAGCAGTGGCAGCGGGATGGGACCACCCATCTGCTGAGGGGGCTGAAGGGGCGGCAGTGGAGGGTGGAGTGGCGGAGGGGTAGTGAGAGTCAGGCGTCCAGTGAGTGAAGGTGGGTGGGGAGGTGAAGGAGGAAGGGGGGGCGGGGGGCTGGGAGGGCGCAGAGGATGTGATGAAGGCGCTGTCAGGCGGGGGTGCTGTCTGAGATCCCTGCCCCTGGGCTGCATGCGAGTACCCCCCAGGGCCCTGCGAGTAGGGCGACCCTTGGGCATACGGGTCTGCTTGCGGCGGCGGTGGATGAGGCGGAGGGGCATACGCCTGGGGCGCCTGGGACGGCACAGCACCCCCGCCCGATCCCACTGGCCTGGCCACCTGCAGTCTGGCAGAGCCACCCGCACCACCGTGACTACTGGGGCCACTGTAGCCAGCATCACTACTGGAGGCATGTGGGAAGGGGAACGTGCCGGCAGTGGCATCAAGGGAATCGGCGGAGGGGAAGGAGAGTGGTGCAGGAGGGGCAGGGGCGAAAGAAGGGGCTGACGCAGCAGGTGGAGCAGCAGAGAGAGAGCCGGTGGCAGCACTGTCAGCAGCATCGGCGTCGCCTCCCGGCGGGCCTGGCGTGGGTCGCCTGCCCTCCGCCAGCGCCTTGCGGATGTCGGCCGCCTTCCACACGGCATACCGCTGCTTCTGCTCCACCTGCCACGCCCAGGAGGGGAGGGGGGGCGGGTGGAGGACATGGCAAGGCGCCGGAGAAGGGGGGGAGACGAGAGAGAGAAAAACAGGAAGGAATCAGAGGGGTAGTGTGAGCAAGTGCTTTGGGCGTGCAGGCTGGTGAAGCATCCAAGGACGCGCTGCCAAGGCACGGTTCCAGCATGCATGTGGGATGAGGGGCTGGTGGGCGGGTACCTCAGGGGCGAGGTCGCCGAACTGCTTGCACACTTCGAGGAAGATGCCCGCCGCATAGAACGTCTTGGCCGTCGCCCTGGGGGGAGATAGGGAGAGGCACGTCACCAGGAAGGGGAAAGATGGAAGGGGTGGGGAATGTGCCAGCCAGGGGATGATGCGACTTTGATGGGGCGAGGCGTGAGAGGGACGATGCATGGAGCACACATGGTGTGATGATGAGCACACATGGTGTGATGATGAGCACACATGGTGTGATGATGAGCACACATGGTGTGATGATGAGCACACATGGTGTGATGATGAGCACACATGGTGTGATGATGAGCACACATGGTGTGATGATGAGCACACATGGTGTGATGATGAGCACACATGGTGTGATGATGAGCACACATGGTGTGATGATGAGCACACATGATGTGATGATGAGCACACATGGTGTGATGATGAGCACACATGGTGTGATGATGAGCACACATGGTGTGATGATGAGCACACATGGTGTGATGATGAGCACACATGATGTGATGATGAGCACACATGATGTGATGATGAGCACACATGATGTGATGATGAGCACACATGGTGTGATGATGAGCACACATGGTGTGATGATGAGCACACATGGTGTGATGATGAGCACACATGGTGTGATGATGAGCACACATGATGTGATGATGAGCACACATGATGTGATGATGAGCACACATGATGTGATGATGAGCACACATGATGTGATGATGAGCACACATGATGTGATGATGAGCACATGATGTGATGATGAGCACACATGGTGTGATGATGAGCACACATGGTGTGATGATGAGCACACATGGTGTGATGATGAGCACACATGGTGTGATGATGAGCACACATGGTGTGATGATGAGCACACATGGTGTGATGATGAGCACACATGATGTGATGATGAGCACACATGATGTGATGATGAGCACACATGATGTGATGATGAGCACACATGGTGTGATGATGAGCACACATGATGTGATGATGAGCACACATGATGTGATGATGAGCACACATGATGTGATGATGAGCACACATCGTGTGATGATGAGCACACATGGTGTGATGATGAGCACACATGATGTGATGATGAGCACCCATGATGTGATGATGAGCACACATGATGTGATGATGAGCACACATGATGTGATGATGAGCACACATGATGTGATGATGAGCACACATGATGTGATGATGAGCACACATGATGTGATGATGAGCACACATGATGTGATGATGAGCACACATGATGTGATGATGAGCACACATGATGTGATGATGAGCACACATGATGTGATGATGAGCACACATGATGTGATGAGGCAACCAAGGCCGAGCAGCCCGCCGCCAAGACTATGTCCCTTCCGCCAAATCGCACCACACGCCAATCGCATGATCTACAATGGGCAGCAAATCGCACCACACGCCACACCCGTTCCCCCAGCACCCCCCCTTAAACGCACATGTCAGCACGGCCAGCGCGGTCCTGCTTGTCCGCCTTGCTGAAAACCCTCTGGGCGAAGCCCTCCACGTGCAGCCCGTCGTCAGGGGACAGCTGCAGGGCCGCCTTGTCCTGGGATGGGGTGGGGTGGGGTTGGGATGCAGCATGGGAGGAGTGAGTCGCGGATTGGCATGGCGTTGAGAGCGAATGAGGGCACCTTGGCGAAGACCCTCTGCACGAAGCCCTCCACTCGCAATGCGTCCTCGGGCGACAGCTGCACACACGCCTTGCCCCGCCGCGGGACATGGCACGCGGCAAGGCATGGACTGGCACGGGCTCGAGAGGGAACGCGCTGCTCAACACCCTCTGCGAATCCCTCCCCCTGCAGCCCGTCGCCGGGCGACAGCTGCAAGGCCGCCTTGTCCTGCGATGGGACATGGGACGGGACATAGGGATGGCAGGCAGCAAGCACACATGCGCCGTGAGGAGACGGGAGCAAGGTTATGGGAGATACGGCGTATTGGGTGGGTCGGACATTAGAGGATGGGAGCATTGAAGGGGGGCGCAGGGACGAGGCGGGAGGAGGGAATGCGGCAGCAGAGGGGGACGGCGGGAAAGGGAAGGGGCGGGCGGGCGGGTTGTGTGGGGCTGAGCGTATGTGGTACCACCTGCATGCTCCATGGTGCATCACAGCAGCATGGCATGGCACGGGCACGAGGGGGAGCACCTTTTCGAGGCGGCCCATGATGGAGACGAGCAGCGCGTTCACCTCCTTGCTCCTCTCCTTGCCCGGCACCTTGAGCCCCTTGTCCATCGCGTACAGACGACCTGCCACCCAACGCACAGCCAAGCACGCCCGATATAAGAACATACACATGGTGCAGCGCGGAGCGGCAGGCGCATGGCGGGCACGGACGACGCGAGCTGAAAGGCGAACGCCGCGAACCACAATCTCCGCGTAATCGGCCCAAGGGGAGTGGGGTCAAGGGGAGTTGAGCCAAGGGGATTTCGTTGCACGGAACAGGAAGCGCGTTCTGACAGAGAAAGTAAGCGCGCGACGAGCGGGGCCGCGTACAATAGTAGGCGACGAGCGGGTCGTGCTTCTGCAGCTCGTCGGCGCGCTGCAGGAACGGCACTAGCGCCTTGCCGCCCGCCAGCTCGTCGCCCGACACCGACCCCGCCATGCCGCGCCCGCCGATGCCACGCCCACGCCCGCACGGACGCCCACACCGAACCCGCCGCCGGGTCAACGGCTCTGCCCGCGAAGCTGGCGAGCTCAAGAATCCCCCGCGGAGAGGAAAAACGAAAAATCTACAACCGTATGTTCGTGACGTCCCTTCGCCGAACTCTTATTCCCGCGCTAACCGACGAGCGTGAGCAGACGCTTCCACGGGACCAGCACCATCTCCGCACACCCCGCAGATGGTGGAATGGCGGTCTGCTGTGGTGCTCGGCAATTTCTAGGTTGAGTGCTCCCACGAGTCCATGTTTTGAATGCTTGCCAAATCGACACCTCCTTATCACGGCAAGCCCAGCGGCAATAGAAAGAGGTATACAGTACGAAAATCTACAAAGTACGTAGAATTTAGAAAACCAGCCAAGGCAATTTCATTGGACTACCTGTACAGCGGACAGCACGAGAAGAGCATCCGAGCCGATTCCTTCCTGTTCCCAGTAACCCACCGCCGCTAACCCCCACTGGAACAATGTAAGTACCGTAGGTCTTATATAGCTATACCCCTTATAATACAATGTCATGTTAGTGGAGCGCAACAGCCAGTAACGGCCGCTGTGCACATTCACTGCATAAGCAGCAGATGCTGAAAGCCGCAGCGCCATAAGGGCCTGCCATTCAGCAGGGTGCTGACTCAGATACGAGTGTTGTTGACAGCAGGCCAGGGGGAACACAGTGCGCGCAGCCGCTGCCGCAGGTGCCATGCGCTGTCGCTGGGTGCGGTGAGTGCAGGCACGGTGGGAGGAGGAAGGCGCATGGGGTTGGGTGAGGAGGGCAGGGCGCAGTGGGGAGTTAGTGGCGTGGCGAGTTGTATTTTGAGTCGACTCAAAATACAACGAGGTGGGGGGAGGAAGGTGGGGGGAGGAAGGCGCATGGGGTTGGGTGAGGAGGGCAGGGCGCAGTGGGGAGTTAGTGGCGTGGTGAGTTGTATTTTGAGTCGACTCAAAATACAACAAGGTGGGGGGAGGAAGGTGGGGGGAGGAAAGCGCATGGGGTTGGGTGAGGAGGGCAGGGCGCACTGGGGAGTTAGTGGCGTGGCAACTCATGAGTCAAGAGTGTGGCCGTGTGCAGCACACAGCACACAGATGGGCCTCAACCCTCATGCACGCAGCTTGACCCGTGCGAGCCATGGGGACTTGTAGTCGAGACCACGGGGTCAATCAGGGGTCGATACCCGGGGTCAAGCCATGGCGTCACACCCACGATGGCAGGTCCATGGCGTCCGCGCTGCTCCTGAAGCTCTCCGCCAGCCCTACCAGCTCCTCGTCACACCCCCCCTGCTCCTCCCCCTGCTCCTCTCCCTGCTCCTCCTCCTCTACCGCCTCTTCTCCCTCTCCCTCCCCCTCCTCCTCCCCCCCCCCTGAGTCCCCCTCCGCCCTCTCCCCCACACCCTCGCCCACTCCCATCGTCTCTTCCTCCTCGTCCCCCCCCCCTCCCTGCTCCTCCTCCTCAGCAGACAGCAGGTCCGGGGCAAAGCGAGGCTTGGGTGGGAGGCGTGAAAGGGCAGGGAGGGAGGCTGGAGAGCAGGGGAGAGGGAGGCTGGAGGGGAGGGCAGACGGGAGGGGGGAGGAAGGCAGGTTGTGCTGGGGAGGGCTGATAGCGGTGTGGGCGGCTGACGCGGGTGCAGGCAGTGACAATGGGCCGGCACCTGCACCTGCCCCTCCAGCAGCACCATTTGTGCCGCCGGCAGCAGCGGCACCAGCAGCAGCGGGACGACCAGACACGGCACCACCAACACCTCCCCCCTCTTCCCCATCCCCATCCCTTTCCCCCGCCCCTTGCCCTGGCAGCTTCCCTGCTTCTTCCCCTTCCCCTCCCCCTTCCCCTCCCCCTTCCCCTCCCCCTGCCCCTGCTTCCCCCGCACCTCCCGTTGCCCCTCCCCCCGCCCCCGCCCCCGCCCCAGCAGCGTGCAGCTTGACCTGGGCGGCGCGCTCCTGCTGCTGCGAGAGCTCCCTCACGCGCGCCAGCACGGCTGGGGGGATGGACGCCGACACCTGCTTCTTGCGCTGCTCGCCCTGCAGGGAGAGGCGCGCACAGGGAGGGGGAAGGGACGGAGGGATGGCGGGGAGAGATGCAGGGGAGCATAGTGGTGGTTGGCGTGGTTCACAATAGGGGCAGGAAACAAGCAGTTGGAGCTCACAATAAGTGTACGGTGGCAGGGGATGCCTGGTTCTTAGATGTATGTGGGAGCAGTACATGGTGCATCATACCTCTTTGGGTGGTTGAAGCGCCATCCTACTTGCGCGCAGGAGATTGCGCCACTTGTCCTGCCGTGATTGGACGGCAAGCAGGAAGGGAGACAAGAGTGAGAGGAAGGGAAATGCAAGATAAGATCGATCATCAACGCATTACCTTGAGGTCAACAGCAGTCAACGCATTACCTTGAGGTCAACAGCAGTGAACGCATTACCTCAGCAGTCAACGCATTACCTTGAGGTCAACAGCGGTGCGGTAGCCAATAGACGCGAACGCGAGTTTCTTGATGTCGGCCCACTTGCCCCCGCCGCACCGCGCCACGCCTTCCACGAGGATCATCACCTCGCGCAGCGTCCACGGGCGGTGGTGCTTGCGCCGCAGCCCCCCGTTGGCCGTGTACATGCGCGCATCGCCCGCCCCCTCGCCTCCGCTGCCCCCACTGCTCACCCCTCCAAAGTCAGAAAACGCTGCAACTGCTGCTGCTGCTGCCGCTGCGGCTCCTGCTGCTGCTCCCGCAGCGGCTGCCCTCTTCCCTGCCCTGCCTGATGCTGCTTGCCTCCGTGCTGCTCCTCCCCCCTCCGCCCGACCTCCTGCTCCTCCCCCCTTCCTTGACCCCCCACCAGCAGCAGCAGCAGCAGCAGCAGCGGCAGCTGCACTCCCCCTATCCATGCCATGCCGCTGCTGCGCCTGCTGGGACAGCGGACTGAGGGGCGTCCCTGAGGGGCTCATGGGCGTCCCCACCTCGTCCCCACTCTCCCCACTGCCCCCTCCTCCCACCCACTCCCCACCTCCACCACCCATCCCCCCTGACCCATCATCTTCCCCCTCCCTCTCCCCCTTCCCCTCCCCCACCCCTCCCACATCGTTCAGCGCACCTGCCTGCTGCTTGCCTAGGGCTGCACTGGGGAGGGCCCCGCCGGCAAGCGCCGAAGGGAGGGCGGCAGGAGGGAGGGGGGTGAGAGCAGGGGCAGGGGAGAGGCCGACCATGCTTGACAGCTCCATCCACGAGGCTTCCTGGAGCTTGGCGCTGGAAGGGCCCAGCCCCTCCAGAGCAGCGCCCAGGGGGCCGATGCCCAAAGGGGTGGGGGCTGGAGGCGACCCTCCTGCTGCTGCCGCCGCCGCCGCTGCTGCTGCTGCTGCTGCTGGCCGTGTTGCCTCCAGTGCGGCTGCTGCCGCCCCTCCCTCTCCAGACGCCCCGTCTGCTCCTCCTCCGCCCCCAGGCGCTCGTGACCCTCTCTGCTCGCTCCTCTTGCCGCCTGCCTTCCCTCTGCCTCCGCTGCCTGACATGCTGCCCCCCCTCTGCTGCGCCTGCTGGTGTTGAGCCATCGGCTGCCTCTGGGGGGATGCGATGCCAGCTGCTGGGGATGATGCTGACGATTTCTTCTTCTGCAGAGAGGGCAGGAGGGAAACGGAGCAGCCAAGGGGTCAATTGAGGCTACCGTAGAACGTCAGCCCTACAATAAAATGAAATCTCACGACTGCACCATAACCATGCAGTATCTATCAACCGCACCATCACTCACCTTTCCTGGAGGTCGCTCCTTCCCACCAGCAGCAGCAGCAGCCGCCACAGCAGCAGCAGCAGCAACCGTAGCTGCATCCTGCGATGCCACTCCTCCTCCTCCTACCCCTGCCACCGCTCCTCCTGCCGCCCCTGCCTTGGTCCCCCCATCGCCACCACCTGCCAGTACTGCTCCTCGCACCTCCTCCGCCCTCCCTGCCCCTCTTCCCCCACCGCCCCTGCCTTCCTCCCCGCGCTCGCCGCCCTCCCCCGCCTCTTCCCCTGCACTGCCCCCAGCACCCTCTGACCCGCCCTCTGCCATTCTCGCCCGCTTTGCCCTCCCCCCACCACCACCACCAGTGCCACCCTTCCCTCCTCCCCTCCCCCCCCCTTTACCCCTGCCGGCTCCTTTCCCCCCAACCCCTCCTTTCTCCTCCCCCTCTGCCCCCACAGCAGCAGCAGCAGCCCCAGACGCACTGGCAGCATTGGGCAGAGAGGAAGCACCCTCACCCAGTTGCTGCCTTTCCCAAGCCATCATGGCTGTCGCCATGCCAGCCGCGTCAGCATCTACAGTAAACCCTAATGTGGCTGCAAAGTCCGCACTCTGACCACCCACACCCATCCCTCCTTGGCCTAACACGCCACCCCCTCCTCCTCCCCTTCTTCCTGCTGCTGCTGCTGCTGCTGTTGCACCCGTGGGAGCAGAAGCAGACGACGGATGCCACTCAGCATCCTGTTCCGAGGGCTGCCCCTCCTCCCCCTCAATAGAGTCACCCTCGAATTGGAACTCGCCCTCAAAGTACCTCGAGTTGAGCACTCTCTTCCTCCGGCTCCTCTCACTCACTCCCTTCTCTATCACTTTCTCACTCCATCCTCTCTCACCCACTCCTCTCCCACTCACTTCCGCTGATCCTGCAGCCCCTTGGGCTGCTGCTCTGCCACCCTCCTCCATTCTCCCCTGCCCCTTTCCTCCTCCTGCACCCTCCCCAACTGCCCCACCTGCCCCACTAGCACCACTGCCTAATCCACTCCTCTTGCCAGCTGTAGCACCTGCTTCACCAGCCATAGCATTCACCAACCCGGCTGTAGAAGCAGCAGCAGCTGCTGCTGCTGCAACATGGTGATCAGACGCAGCTGTAGCAGCTGCCTTCCCAGCAGCAGTGCCTGAGTCAACAGCTGTAGCGCCTGCTGCAATTGGTGCGGTTTTTTTCCCTTGCCCCCCTGTCTCTCGTCCCTTCCCCTTCCCTCCCTTCCCACTGCCTCCGCCCACGCCTCCCACTCGCCTCCCCTTCCCTTTGCTGCCACCACTGCCAGCACCAGCAGCAGCAGCAGCGGCAGGTGCAGTACTGGCAGCAGCAGCAGGCGCAGCAGCAGGAGGCAGAGGGGTGGGCAAGGTACGGAGTGGGCTGGAGAAGGGGCTGGCGCTTGTAACGTGGTTGGGGCTGGCGCGAGCAGCAGCAGCAGGAGGGGCAGCAGCGGCAGCAGGAGAAGCAGCAGCAGCATGGGGTGGAGACGAGAGCGGGGAGCGAGAGGAGGCAGCTGCAGCAGAGGGGGGGATGGCGGGCGAAACAAAGGCAGCAGCAGCTGGGGGCATAAAGGGGGAGGCAGCAGGTGTGTGGAGAGGACTGGTAATAGGGCTGCTCATGTGCACGCCCACACCGGGGCTCATTCCCATGCCCCACCTCGCACCTCTCCCACTGCCTGCCACTCCCACCATCTGCACCTGCTGCTGCTGTCGCTGCTCCCAACCAAGAGGCAATCCTGCCACGTTTGCTCCTCCTGCTGCTGCCACGTGTGCACCTCCTGCTCCTCCTACGGCTGCCACATGTGCGCCTGCACCTGCTGCCAGCCGCTCCTCCTGCTGCCGGGCCAGCAGCTGAACCAGCAGCTGCGGTCGCTCCAGCAGTGTGGCGGCTGCCACCGCTGCGCCTCGCGACTGCAGCACCTGCTGCCACAGCTGCTGCAGCACGGCCTCACTCAGCACGTCCTGCACCTGAACCCCTGCTCCCTGCCCCCCCACCTGATGCTGCTGCTGCTGCTGCTGCTGTGGTGGCAGCGGCGGTGGCGGCAGCGGTTGCTGCTGTTGCTGTTGCTGTTGCTGCAGTAATTGTTGCTGCTGCTGTGGCTGCTGCAGCTGTTGCTGCTGCTGAGATGGTTGCTGCAAGGGCTGCTCTTGTTGCTGCTGCTGCGGCTGCTCCAGCGCCCTCCGTTGCTGTTGCTGTTGCTGCAGCAGCTGCTGCTGCCACGCACCAGCCAGTCCGAACTGCTGCTGCTGCCGCTGGAGCTCCTGCTGGGCCTGTCGCTCCATCTCCTCCTCCAGCTGCTGCTGCTGCCGCCGCCGCTGCTCCAGCTGCTTCTGCTGCATCTGCTGCCGCTTCTGCTGCAGCCGCTGCTGCTTCTGCTGCTCCCTCAGCGCCCGCTGCTGCTGCTGCTGCGCCAAGCCCTGCTTGTCCACCCCAACCGCGTTCTGGCACTCCTCCTGCTGCTCCTCCTGCTTCCCCCGCCACTCGCCCTCTTCCTGCGTTCCGTGCTGCTGCTGCTGCTGCTGACCCTCCTGAAGCTGCTGCCTGTGCGGCCCTTGTGCCCCCTCCACACTTTGCTGCTGCTCCGCCCTGCGATCTCCCTGGTGCTTCGACCGCGCATCCCCACCCCCAAAAGCAGGCGGCTCCTCGATTCGATTTGCATCAACCATGACATCTGGCACGCGTTGAGGGGGTGACAGTGCGCCATGTGGCAATGACAGGGCTGCCTGTGCGGATGGTGAGAACGGGGGACGAGGGGAGGCAGCAGCAACCTGTGCGTGTCGCATCGTGTGCTGCGGACTGCCACCCTCCTGCACTGGCTGCAAATCGCCCCCAGCTGCAGCGCTGCCATGAGCACGGGCTTCGCCTGCTCCACTGCTCTCCCCTGCTCTCGCAATACCTCCCTCCTTTCCCACCCGCCCACCACTCCAATCGCGCCCTTGCCTCCCTGCCTGCCCTTCCTTCCACCCTTGCCCCTGTGCTTGCCTGCTCGACTGCTGCGCCTGCTGCCCGCCCTTCCCTGCCTTGACTCTCCGCCGGTGCCCCCCTGCCTGCTGCTGCTCGCCTGTCAGCTGTGCCTTGCCCTGCCTCACCGCTTCGTCCCTCTGCACTTTGCCCCTCTGCACTCCATTCCTCGCCAAAAGCTCAACATGACGCCCCGCCTTGCTTTCTTCTTGCCTATCCCTCTCCGCATCAACTCGTGCACACTCACCCTGTGCCAACTCACCCTGTGCCAACTCACCCTGTGCCACCTCAGCCTGTGCCACCTCAGCCACCTCAGCCTGTGCCACCTGTACATGTGCAACGCCGCCTGCTTGCGCCTCAGCCTCTGCGCCTGCCCCACCTGCTCCCTGGACGTGTCTTCGATTCTTGGATTCCGCCAGCGGACTGGTCTGTGTCAGTGTCTGTAACTGTACATGTGTTTCATTTACAGTTTCATCTACCCTCTGAGATTGTTCCGCATCATCTTCTCCTGTTGGCGCCATCTCTGCCTCTGCTGTCGGTCCAAGAGCATGCCCATCCCCCACATGTGGCCTCTCCCCCACATGCTCCGCCTGCAGCCGCCTCTCACCCTTGCTTCTCTTCTGCAGCTCTTGATCCTTCCCCTCCACCACAGGCCTCTCACTCTCCTCCTCTGCTGCCGCTGCACCAGCCATTGCTCGCCTCCCCTCGCCCTGCTCCTCCTCCCCCTCCTCCTCCATAAGCGTATCCCCCTCTCCTTTCTCCCCCTCTCCTTGTTCCCCCCCTCCTAATCTCCCCTCTCCTTTTTCGCCCTCTCCTAATCCCCCCTCTCCTTTTTCGCCCTCTCCTAATTCCGCCTCTCCGTGTCCCTCCTCTCCTTCCCCTACTCTCCCCACACTCCCTTCTCTGGCCACACCCGCTGCCACGCTGTCCTCTCCTGCCCTTGCCCCTCCTGCTCTCTCCTCCATCGCCGCATCCACATCTTGCCCGCTCTCTGCCACCCCCTGCATCCCTGCTCCTCCTGCTCCTCCCCCCAATCGTGCTTCTCCTGCTCCTCCCCCAAATCCTGCTTCTCCTGCTCCTCCCCCAAATCCTGCTTCTCCTGCTCCTCCCCCAAATCGTGCTTCTCCTGCTCCTCCCCCAAATCGTGCTTCTCCTGCTCCTCCCCCAAATCGTGCTTCTCCTGCTCCTCCCCCAAATCGTGCTTCTCCTGCTCCTCCCCCAAATCCTGCTTCTCCTGCTCCTCCCCCAAATCCTGCTTCTCCTGCTCCTCCCCCAAATCCTGCTTCTCCTGCTCCTCCCCCAAATCGTGCTTCTCCTGCTCCTCCCCCCAATCGTGCTTCTCCTGCTCCTCCCCCCAATCGTACTTCTCCCGCCTCGCCACCCTCGGCCCCCTCCGCCCTATCCGCCACAGCCCCACCAGGAACGGCCACTGCGGCAGGCCGGGGCAGCAGGGGCTGGGCCTCTGCCCCTTGCTGCATTTCCCCTGACTCCACTTGTTCAACTTGTGCACGCCGAGCCTGTGCCTGCCGAGCCTGTGCCTGCCGAGCCTGTGCCTGCCGAGCCTGTGCCTGCCGAACCTTTGCCTGCCGAGCCTGTGCCTGCTGCAACCTTTGCCGTTCCTCCCACTGCTTCTGGATCATCTGTCGCCGCTGCAGCCTCAGCTGCCGGGAGACCGAAGGGCCCACGGCCCCTCTCTCATGCTCCCCTCCACCCCCGTTCACCTGCTCTCCCTCACCCGCCCCTTCCCCTGCCTCCCCACTGCCTCTGCTCTCACCTCTCACCTCCTCCGCTTGAGCCCAAGTCTCTTGCCCCTCCCTCCCTTCTTCAATCTCCCCTCCCGCCGCCTCCGCCCTCCCGTTTCCTGCTGCAACCGCTGCCGACACTCGTGTGTCAGAAGCTGCGCTCTCCCCGCCCACACGATTGCGCCAGCTCCCTCCCGGCCCCATCTCAGCCGTCTCGCCACGAGCAGACACAGCCCCTGCCTCCCCCCCTCCCCTCACCCTTCTGCCCGGCCCTTCCCTCGCTATCCGCCCCTCCACCTTCCACCTGCCTCGCCCTCTGCCTCTGCCTCTGCCTCTGCCCCTCCCTAACCTACCGTGCGCCCCCCTGCTCTCCGCCTCCTTTGACACGCCCATTCCAGCCCCATCCACAGACGCACGGGCACGAGCACTACCGCTGGCAGCACCTGCAGCACATGCAGCGGCAGTTTGGTGGGCACCGTCACACAGTTGATCTAATCTCGCCTCCTCTCTTGCCTCGTCCCGGCCCTCTTCTGCTCCACCTCCTGCTGCATGGTGAACCCCCTCCTTCACTCCCTCCCCCAACGACCCTCCGTTCTCTTCAATTCCATCGGCCTGCAGTCGCCCTTCCCCTCCCCCTTCCCCCTTCCCTGCCCCTTCCCCCACTGCCTGCCACCCAGACTGCAACCTCCGCCTCTTTCCTCCCCCTCTTCCCCCTGATCCTGCCCCTCCGCCCTGCTGCTGCGCCACCTGCTGCGCCTCACTCTCTCTCACAGCAGTCTCCCCAGGAGCAGCAGACACCCCTCCAACCGCTGTTCCCCGTGCAACAGCATCAGCAGCAGCAGCGCCACCCACTGCTGCAGCCACACCGGCAATATCAGCAGACGCCTCCCCCGGCTCTACCTTTGCCTGCAGCGCTGCTGCCTGCTGCGCACCAGCCCGCCTCGCGCTCGTCCTCCTCCCCCTGCCCTCCTCCGCCTGCTGCAATTCCCCATGCCCCCCTCTAGGCCGTGCAACCGGGGAAGCAGGGGCGGAAGCAATGGGGGAGGCGGGGGGAGAGCGCGGGCTATGCGGATATGACGCAGGGCCAGGGGCTGCACCCACTGGCGCTCGCTCACAGGCGCCAGTACCCGCTGCTGCTGGCTGTCGCATAGCTGCAACGTCCGCCTCGGCGATCAAAGCAGCGAACGTGGCAGCAGGTGGACGTTGACTCCGTTGACCCGTTTGACCCCGCCTGCTGCGAGGCCGGGTGGGCCAACCACCAAACCCTAACCACTCCCACGCCGATCCCTCTAACCTTAACCCTTGCCCATCAAGTCCTAGTTCATCACCATCTCGCTCCAGCCCATCTTCTACTTCCTCTGTGTCCTCCACTGCCCCTCCCCGCGCCCTTCCGTCCCCTGCTGATCGCGCGTGCGCTGCCCCCCATCCCCTCCGCACCACCTCGTCGTCCCTCCCCCGTCCGCCCAATCGCCACCTGCTGCGACGGCCCACCCTCGCCCTCCCCCCTGCATACCCTTCCTCCTCCCCTTCCGCTGCCCCCCGTGCTCCGCCCTCCGCCCCCTGCTCCTCCCCCGCACCCCTTCCTGCTGCACCAGCTACAGCGTGCGACCCCCCTGTTTCCTCCGCGCGCCCTGCACCACCAGCGCCGCCATCAGCAGCGCGCCGAGCCATTCCTGAGCCCCTACCCCTCCCCCTCCGCCCCCTACCCCCGCCCAGAGCCCCCCTTGGCCGCCCCACGCGCCCATGAGCGGGAAAGGAGCGGGGGGCGGAGAGGAAGGGCGGATGGGGTTGCTGGTGGGCAGGATGGTGGGGTGGGGGGGGAGGAGAGCGCAGGGAGTGGGATTGGGGGAGGTCAATGTGCCGCTGGTGGGCGCTAGGGTCGGCGCTACTGTGGCCGTGTGAGAGCTTGTGGTGCGAAATCTCTTGCAGAAGAAAATCCAAGAACTCCTGGCGCGCGTGGACACCTGCCCTCGTCTCATTGGCTGGCAGAGGAAGCATGCCATTGACGCACCCGCTGATATTAACCTGACCCGCGCGCCCCCCCGAGCCCCTCTCGACCTCCCCTACCCCTAACCCTAATTCCGCCTTCACGCTCCTCCCTTGCTGCCCTTCTCGTGCATGCCCAGTCCCTACAATTCCGATCTCCGCGTCCCACCAGGGAAGAGCCGCGGACGGCAGGGGGGCCTCCTCCCCCTCCCCTGCACCGCCTTCCTCCCCCAACCCTAATCCTTCCCCCGATGGCCACTCCCCCATGTCCGCCTCTTCCCCGTCCTCCAGCGCCCCGGGCGGCAGGGGCAGGGAGAGCGCGTCGGGCGCGTGGCGGAGCATCCACGCGTGGAGCTCCTCGAGCTCGCGCTCGGTTATGGGCACGGCGTCGAGGAAGTCAACGCAGTCAACGGGGTCTACGGGGTCTACGGGGTCAGCTGAGTCGACCCTGCACAGCCTGTACACGACTTGCTCACTGCCCCCTCCCTCGCGCCACTCGCCCTCCAATGCACCCGCATCCGTCCCATCATGCCCTTGACTGCTAGTCTCAGCACCCCTCTGCTGCTGCTGCTGCTGACTATCTGTGCTAAGGAATGCCTGCTCCTGCTTTACTCTAAGCTCGTCTTCCGCTTCTTCCTGCACCTGCTCTTGACTATTCTTCTCCCCCTGCTCCCCCCCCTCCTTCGCCTCCCCCTTCGCCTCCTCCTTCGCCCCCTCCTTCGCCACCTCCACTACCCACGCCTGCTCCTCCTCCTCCACTTTCACGCTCCTCGCTTCCCCGCCTTCACCAGGCCCTCTCCCCGCTACACTCACCCCCTCTAACACCACATCTCCTGCTACAGCTGGCGTCATCCCTCCGAACCGGTCCTCCCGCTGCTGCACCTCGCGACCCCGCTGCTCCTGCGGGTGCCTGAGCACCGCCGCAGCCCCCTCGCTGCCGTCATCCACCGTTCTATCCTCAATCGTCCTGACGCCTCCTTCGCCACTCAAACTCCCGTTGCCACCCGCGCTGTGTCTTAACAGCTTCTTCCTGATTGGTTGGTGCTGGTGCTGGTGCTGCCGATGCCCGTGCTGGTGCTGCAGCGCCTGTGGCGGCAGGAGCGGCTGCTGGTTGGCGCCGGACGCGACCGGGAGGGCCATCTCCATGGCTCGTGGCCTGCCTCCGCCGCTGCGACTCTGACATCACACCGCATGCGCTGACATCACTGCCGTGTCCCGAGCCCCCTGGAGTCACGGAAATACGGCAAGAGGAGCCGCTGGCTACGGGAAAGCGGAAAGCGCGCGAACGCCAAGCGGACACGACGAGCGACACGGATTGGCTAGGAAACCGCAAGGCGTGGGGTCACACGAGGGCACGACTGGGAGCGTGCGACGGCTTCTGACGGCGCGTCTGATAGCCCGCAACGGCGAACGACGGTTGAGGGGGTAGCGGTCGGCGGTACGAGCGAAGGCGCGGCACGGACTAGGTATGAAAGTGGTGAAGGTGTGTCCCGGGGCGAAGTAAACGAACACCCAGACCGATAGTGGTTGAACGAACGCCGGAAAATGCCAAGGGTCAACGGTTACGGCAGCTTCGCTACGTACCGAAGTAGTTTATGTTTTGTAACAGTACGTGAAACGGAGGCGCTACTGCGCATATGACATCAGGAGGAACCTACGAAGAGGAGGAGGATGACTATTCGTCACACTGGTTGGGTCCTGAACGCGCGTTGGAATTATTCGGCACACGTTTGAAGCGTGAGCAGCAAGTTAGCGCGTGCAAAAGTTCGGAGGTAAAATAAGAACGCTTCCTTAGGCTCTTCGAACAACAGAGCGGCGAAAATAAACTGTCACGTGGCGACTCGGAAATAACTAAGCTGATATTTCGGCGATGGCATGAGGGAAGAAGCATCGCCTCGTAACGCACGAGACGCATTTGCGCGGCCTAGTGTCTCTCAGACAGCTCCACCACACTCCCTTGGTTCAGGCGCTTTGTGTATTTGTTGGCGTGGCCAATGGCTGGCTCAGCGCGGCTTGCGCCTGAGAGCTAACTACACACGCTACCTATTGGTCTTGGCGTGGCGGGAAGCAGAAATGAGGAGCAGCTGAGGCGAGGGACTTGATTGCCTTGGGATTGCCGCAGTCCCGTCAGCCGCACCAACTCGCCTCGCTCCCTTGGGCCAGTGGCAGGCGAGCGACGCAGAGTCCAGCGTCTCCCTCGCCTCGCTGCGAATCGCATGCAGCACAGCGAGCACTTGGGTCAGGTCAGTTCAAACTTCAAAACTCGAAAATCTACGAGGAAACATGTGCGGTTTTTCATCGTGCTGCCCGGATGCTCGCGCAATTTTTGGGGGGCGTTTAGGTTTGGAAACAGCGAGGGCCTGGTTGTCACATTACGTGGCTGCGCATGACGGGCTGTTGACGTTATGCCAAATCTGAAACAGCGACGGGTTGCCACGTCGTCTTACCGAAGCTAAGTCTCACTGCTGCAAGACCATCGCCCAGGTCAGGTTTCAGGCGGCAAATCTGCTCTAGTGCAGGTCATGACGTAAGAGCAGTTTTTCATAGGTGGCACCACAATCTGAGGGTAACAAGAACGAACAGAGTCGGGGGAGGGGCGGTGTTGGTCAGTTCGAATCCACACCGGTTCCCCACTTTGTCTAGTCAAGTTTCTGTTTGTTCACGCATAGCATGTTCCGCTGACCAGGCATCCCATCAATAGTAGCACAAACTCTTTGTATTTATGTCCACGCTCGGTAGCGAAAGTACGGAAAGTAGTCCTGGTACAGAGAAAGTAGCCCAACAATCAGACTACGCTCCTCGCTTATCACCGAGCCTCTCAGTCCGGCAGCCTTGGCCCCACAGCCACGTAACGAGATCATTGTGACGAATCAAGGCAAAGCAAGGTCTGGCTTGTGATAACAGCAGCCCATGCACCTGGCTATTGCCCCTTTCTGGGCTCTGGCGACAAGCTACCTCTCGAAAATTGGTCTATAAAGGTAATAAAAATGCCTTGCAGAAAGTCTTGCTTCTAGAACACGTTACACGTGTAGTAGACTATTTACAACCAAACACAAACGCTGGCTTTGTACAAGCCACATGAACGATCTATGGCAGTAGAATGATGTCGCCTGCAGCACGCAAAGGAAACTCCACCTTTAGAAGAGCATCAATCCTAGTCGTTCAAACAAGAAGCGTACGAAAGCAGAGGCGGCGAGCGAGTGAAAGGGTTGAATGATTCTGCACCTGTATGGATTAGGTTTGCATCTTGGATGTTGTTGATCTGCATAATGGCATCCACTGTCGTGTCATGCTCACGAGCTATGGCATACAGAGTGTCGCCCTGCACGTCCTCAATGTGATACGCACATGCAAACCGACTCCCAATCAACAGGCACGCAAGGCACTGTCACACTTTGTTGCAAACAGAACCCTTCAATAATGCATGTAGAGACACGCACCACTTGAAGGGTGCATGCATACGAGAAACGAACCTTTGCAATGGTGTATGTGCGAGGAACCCAGAGGCTCTGGCCGGGTCTTAAGAGGTCTGAACGAAGTGCATTGGCCTGCCACCATCCGATGGGAGGAGAACGGCGAGCAAACTTACGGGCATGGATTTGGCAAAGAGCAAGGATGGGGCAAGCTTTCAGTGGCAAAGACCACCACTTCCGCTTTGCTGATACCGTACTCCTCTACACCAGTGTACGAGCACAAGCGTCACCTGCATAAGGATCTCTACAGTGCTTCCCAGCTGGCCGGCAATCTTTGTCAGGTTGTCGCCCAGCTGCACGTCGTAGTACGACCTCCCCCCCTCGTGGCGCAGAGGCAGGGCTGTAGGAGGGTAAAGCGGGATGGTTGCGAGGAAGGTATGAGTGCACTGGCAAGAACTGGTTAGGGAGAACTGGTAAGGAAGGAGAGGTGCGGGAACTGGTAAGGAACATATGATCTCTCCCCCCCACCCGGTCACACCTCCCTCTTCTCCCCCCTCTCTCACTCTCCACTCTTCCCCCCACAACCCCTTCTCCTCCCACCTTGCGGCTTCTCGGGATTGCCAAACGGCCACATATCTTCACGCCGCTGCTACTGCCCGCCGCTCAATTCTCTCGTCGACGCACGGGCAGCGTAAGCAAGCCGGCTTGCTACCAGCGTAGAATTCACCCTAATTGTACTCTATTCGCCGCTAGTTGATCCTAATCAGATGTGAAGGGACGGGGAGGCGCGTTTGAAAGGACTCCTTTCGAGGCGGTGAAAGGGTGGGAATTGAGGCGCTGCGGGGAGAAGCTAGAGTCACGGGAGCGGACAGATGGGATGGCAGCACCCGTACGCAGTGCAATAGCCTCGGGGTCTTGCCTTGCCAGGTATTGTCGCTGGGCGGTTGCTTTCATGCTTTCGTCCGGTGTCATCCAAATGGTTTTATTCTCAGCTGTAACATTCGCAGCTCAGCTTATTGAGGTCTTAGAAACAAACATTCATAATCTTGCTAACCAGAGCTTCCTTACAATAACGTCCATGCCCACACACACGTTCACAAAAGACGGCATGTCTAGGACGCATACTCATTAATAAAATCCAAGAGTCTTCACTTAATAAACATCACAAGAAAATGCTGTTCCCTACCCACTTCCCTGCTTGGCCCATCTGCAGCATCCCACACATACAACACACGTTCATGAGTGTTCCGCCCATCAAACCGCCGTAGGGTCCTGCATCCCTTCACACATTCCGGCCGCAAATGCTCTTTCCGTGGCCTCAACTTCGTTAGCATGTATAGGCGTGCCATCCTCCATCGGCGTAGAATCCCCTCATTTCTCCATTCTTCTTGATGTGCCCTCCTCAACGTCTCTCAACGCTTGCTTAAAAACTCCGCAATATCCCCCCCAATGCTATAGAAGAACAGCCCCTCCAAGCCACATGGTCATATCATACCTGACTGAAGCACCGGCAGCAACATGGGGTTGCACCCAACAGCATGGAAACAGCGAAGGCTGCTCCAGGCTCTCAGGTCTGACGATCGCGCAACCCGAATATCCCTCTACTCAAGGGCCTTAACAGACTGTATCACAGCAAGCGGGAGGTTGGCAGTCTACTCTGGAAGGATGTTGGTGCAAAGGGAGTCAAGCGAGGTGAGGTGCATGGAACAGGGTTCCTGCTAAGTTTTCGGGCTGTCTGAGAATCAGACGCGGTTTCAAATTTTCGTCTGACCATCAGACGAGCTGCCTGGGCTGGTCTAGATTTTCAGACGAATTGTCCAGCATCATCTGAGCTTCCAAACGGAAAAAAAGGTACTTCACAATAAACTACAGTACAGTACTGGGGTGATGACGCGCCACGCGGCAAAAATATTCCGCGGGTGGCAGGTTTGAAAGCGTATTCCTACGAACCTCTTCCCAGGCTGTCCTCTTCCCAAACTCGGCCCTTGCCTGAGTGAGAGCGTGTTCGAAGAACCGTTTTTCCAACTAATTCGTTTCAGAATCCCGTTATAAATCGCGTCAAAATCCCATTGTACAGATTCGCGCATGACTGAAAATTTTCGCGCCTGAAACGAGATTTGAAAATACGCCTTGAATCTCGACAATCCCAATCTCGCGTCACACCACGCAGAACCGCATTTAACTGTTTCGTGTAAGAATTACGTGACACTGTAGCGCGGGAGTTTGGGATGAGGTTGGTTGGGAAGAGGCAGCAAGAACATGCTCTGAGGCCCGATGACACACGTGGCCAAATGGCCACAAGGGCGTGGACTACACCAAAATTGTAAAATGGGCGGGAAGGGGAGGGGGGGGGGGGGGGGGGGGGGGGGGGGGGGGGGGGAGGGGGGGGGGACAGGTTACAAGGTGGGTGCAATGTACCGCCCACCAGAGTAGGAGGAGAGTGGGTGAACCGTCGAGATCGTGATCGTTGATCGACAATATATCTCTTAGTTGTGTGTTGCGATTAAATTAGCCAGCAACATCCTCGCCAGTTCGGAGCGATTTTGATTAGCTACATAGGAGAATGGCTTCCTGTGCTTGTGCCCAGACTTCACGATGACCAATGTGACTCCTTTTCTACGAAAATATTTTCGCACCCACTTCGCCTTCCAGCTCAAGTTCTGAATCTAATCAGAGCCCCGTAGGAACATGCTCTCAGACGGAAATATACGCGCTATCTGGAAATTCAGACGAGTGTCTGCACCAAGTCTGAGAATTCATACGGATTTATATAACCAAGATGGTCGTTCATATGAAAATTAATGGGCTGTCAAAGAATCAGATGACACGGGAAAAGTGAGTCTGATTCTCAGATGAACAGACGGATTTCGTCTGCTAACGGGAACCCTGGCGTGGAAGGCCCAGGGGCAAGATCGATCAAGGTAAAGGTAGAGCGATTGTAGGTGCGGGGGGCAAGTGGGAAGCAGGAGGAGGCGGGAATGGTGGGTTTCCCAGTTGAAGCGGAGAGTGGAAAGCAGAGGAGCAGACAGCGAAATGGCACTGTCAACCCCTATAATTCTGATATCAGTAGCAAGAGGGAAGTGGAAGGAAAAGGTCTCCCGCGCGTCAGTGCCTCCCTCACGCCATCTCCTACCTCCTCTCCCTATTCTTCCTTCCACACCCATCGCACCGCCTTCCTCGCCCTCTGCGCCTTCGCCAGATGCAAAGTGACCAGCAGGCGTAGAGAAATTGAACGTTTGCAGCTGGGGCAAGAGGCACGAGGGGCCCTACATCCCGGTCACTGCTTTGGTCTGGTGTGGTCTGGCCGCATGGCTTGGGGGGGCTTTTTCTAAACAGCACTGGAAGGGACATTGTTGACGTTTTGAAGAGTGAGTTGAGAAGGGGCGACGGGGAGCAAATCTTGGGGAGGGGGGATGGGGCGGATGGCATATCTATAAGGGGAAGTGAGACAAGCATGGGAGCGGGAGAGTTGGCGGGTGAAGACCAACTAGTAGGGGCGAAAAAGGGCGATGCAGTGCAGGCAAAGGGGAGGAACGTTATGGCCGGATTGCTACTTGATTGCAGGAACCTGCAACGGTTTGTGGGGTGGGATGGCAGTGAGTGTGTGCTGTATGTGTGGGACGCTGCAGAGGGGCATTCAAAAGATGGTTGGGATAAGATCATTCCCCACAAAAGGTTGTTCTTAGATTAAAATTCTACCCTCATTTGACTAATGCTATAATGCTTCGAAGTAAATTATGTTTACTATGTTCGAAAGCATATAAGTCTTAGTATATGGCCTTTACTATTGTGGCATCATATAGGCCGCGTTCTGGAAGTTTGGCCGACGACGAAGTTTAGCCATGCGACTCGCAACGTCGGGATTGCACATTTCAATGTTTAGCCGTGCGGCTCGAACTTTAGCCAACAAAACCTTACCGGCCAGATTTCGTGCGACGGGGGTCCACGAACAGCTACGACCAAGGGCGAGACCTGGTTTCTGCAGACTTGGCCGGCCACGCCAAGGAAATGTGACATCGACTAAGCCAAGAAAGCAGCACCATCCTGTCCGACTCACGAGCAGCCGTCAAACAGAGAATGCTCCATTTTTCTTCACCAAAGCCTTCATAGTACAAAACCTCCTAGTAGCCCACAGAGCCTTCATCGACACCCGTTGCGGCTATGGTGTTAAAACCCGCGTGGCAAATGTACCAAAATTACTACATTTGGTTCGGAGTTCTAAGGGAGTACTGTACTAATTGACAGCCAATCCCGTCTTTCTACCCAACCGACGTTTCCACCATTGAACTACTTGGCTTAATGGTTTTAACTCTAGTTTGTGGTGGGAATTTGGTGGGAAATTTGCAAGACACCTCTTCCAAGATTCTCCGGAAGTTGCCCGTCAGGAGTCGCTGACAGATGCGACGTTTCGGGGGTTTTGTCCGACGTCGTTATATCGTTCGTAAACACTCTGATTTGGCACGACGTCCATCCATTCGCAAAATGTATAGAACACGACGCTAAAACTTTCGCCTGTGATGTGGCACTGCACTTGGCCAAAGTTCACCAACCCCAACCTTTACCAACCAAAATCGCAACTTTAACGCTTACGTGGCGTGTCGGATGGCCAAACTTCGTCGTCGGTCAAACCCCAGAATGTGATCTTACCTATAGACAGGAAATACATAGCAGTACAAAATTCGTTTCCACCAATTTCACCGCCTATCAAAATCTCCGCCCAGCAGTATACCACAACGTGGTGCTGAGACCATATTCGTCGATCACGTCCTTTCAATCCAATACCTCTCCCTCAAAGATAGTCACTTTTCTTACTAAGTAGGAGGACAATATTTTATGTAGCGTACGTTGAAAGCTCCCGAACTGTTTGACGGGACTAGGCGGTCGACCTTCACTGGGTGCTAAGCTGATCGACAGGTTGCGAGCAACAAGACGGAGTGGCAAGCTTACGAGTTGCAACGCGAGCCGGGCATGGATGGAGCCGTCCTAAGCACCCTGCCGATAGACGTGTGGCTGCGCATAGCAAATGTGGTTGAGGAGAGAGAAGAGAGCTGCTGCTCGTGGCCGCTCCTGACGTGCGTCGTCGCCCTTTCGTGCATCCGCCGTGCCCTCCCGGGAATCTCGTCGCTCGTGTGTAACGAGGAATGCTAGTGCCCGCCCTCCGCCGTCTTCCTCGCTCAACGTTTCCGCATCTTCGCATGGCTTTCTAAACAAGTCTCTAACGTCACCGAGCTTTGCCTAACGGCCTCTGTTTCACCTCCCCGCCTTTTCTTCTCTCTCATCCGCACCTGCCTGTTCCCGTCGCTCTCCTCGCTCACAAGCCTTGATCTCTACTTTCCGTGAAACCTCCCTTCCCCTCCGCGCCTCCTCTCGCTCTCTCAAGCACCTCGCCTGGAGTCGCTACTACTCGACCACAATGCTGCATCAGACATTGACGAGGGGATTGCGACCAGGCACGTGTGCAATGATTCCGGAATGGTGGCGGAAATGTGGGAGCAGATTTCAATGATGGAGGATGAGGATTGGGGGGATTATGGGCGACCCTTCCCCACCCTGCGCCGCCTCGGTCTCTCCCTCTCCGCGTGCTCGCCGTTCGTCCTCCACTTCACTGCATGGAAACAACGAAGCCCGTGCCAGGCACTTCGGTCAAGACGTCGTGAGAGCCAAATGTACCTCCACTTGAGGGCCTTGAGATTGCTTATCACGGTGGGCGGCAGACTGGTGTTCTGCTCAGGCTGCATGCTCGTAAAGAGAGAGTCAAGCGAGGTGAGGTGAGGTGAGGGGCGTGAAAGGCCCAGGAGCAAGATGGATCGGTGTGAAGGAAGAGCGATGTCAGGTGGGCGGAGCAGGTGGGCAGCAGGTTGAGGCGAGCGTTGCGAGTCCACCAATGAAAGTTGAGGGAGGCGAAA